CAAAAAAAAAAAAGCATGGTAAGGCTTTTGGGCCCTAACAGGCTGCTGGCAGCCACCCACCATCTTGCCTCCCTGCACGCGGCCAGACAGCTCCCCTGCAGAACCTGGTAAGCGCTAGCGTTTCCAGGCTGCCTCCATATTGAGCCTGGGATTTTTGCCTCCTGGGGGCAGGGGTGGGAGGGAGAATCAGAAAGTATCAGATATTTTAGGTGTCCGATATTTTCTGAATTTTTTTTTTAAACCAGACAGAAGGTGAAAATACCAAACTTTCTGGTTCAATACCAGACACCTGGCAACCCTAAATTTTGCAAATAGTGAAAGTATACCACAGATTTAACATTGACTAGCTCTCTGAAATCTAGCCATTTAGGAGCAAATATGCTAGAGGTATTTTCTAACACTATTTTGAAGAGTTACAACCAAATATGGTTTTACAAAAATTCTTCCGCCCCTTGCTGTGTATGAGAGCCCAGCAATGGCCCACTACTCAGCATGAGATCTGAATCAATCATCAAAAATTACATAAATGTAATAATTAGCCTGAGACAATTATAATGCAGATGCCACCAAACAAGTGAGCATTTGCCATTCCCCATAACAAGCAATGGAGGCAGCTCAAGGTAATGCCGAATTAAAGTGTTAGCCTTTAATCTTTTTAGCAAAACACTATAAATAGAGGAGACTGCAATTCACAATATTTTGTCTTCTAGTAAGGGACAATTAGATGATCTTTAACTAGTCATTGCTTAAATGCCTACACTCATTTGGATTAGCCTCAAACATAGTAAACACTCTCCATCATTACGTGTTTAATAACTGTGACCCGAGGTTATGTCAGAGGTCATTTTTTAAATAGAAGTCAGAATTATTTAAGAAAATCTTAACACCACTTTCAGGATCCCCAACCAGAGCTTTTCTCAGAAAACCATCACCGCTAATTTTCTTTCCTGTGTACTGTACCTGTTTTAAGTGAAAAAACAAGACAGATCTTTCTGTACTCAGCTCTTATTCAGTAAATTAACAAAAAGTTGCCAAGACTAATATTGTAGTTTTCTGTGGGAGGAATGTGACATCTCTGCAAGCTGTTCTATAGGGTCCTGGCTACAACTTTTTAAAAAAATGTCATTATCTTCTTGGCTACGTCTACATTGGCCCCTTTTCCGGAAGGGGCATGTTAATTTCAGAGATCGTAATAGGGAAATCCGCGGGGGATTTAAATATCCCCCGCGGCATTTAAATAAAAATGTCCGCCGCTTTTTTCCGGCTTTTAGAAAAGCCGGAAAAGAGCGTCTACACTGGCCCCGATCCTCCGGAAAAAGCGCCCTTTTCCGGAGGATCTTATTCCTACTTCAAAGTAGGAATAAGATCCTCCGGAAGAAGTAGGATCTACTTTGAAGTAGGAATAAGATCCTCCGGAAAAGGGCGCTTTTTCCGGAGGATCGGGGCCAGTGTAGACGCTCTTTTCCGGCTTTTCTAAAAGCCGGAAAAAAGCGGCGGACATTTTTATTTAAATGCCGCGGGGGATATTTAAATCCCCCGCGGATTTCCCTATTACGATCTCTGAAATTAACATGCCCCTTCCGGAAAAGGGGCCAATGTAGACGAGCCCCTTGGGTTTACCCAAGCATCTGCTTTTCCTCCTTTGATATTGTAAATATATGACTAAATTCCTAGCTCCTAATGTTTGTGCTTAGATAAGAACATAAGAAGGGTCGTACTGGGTCAGACCAAAGGTCCATCTAGCCCTGTAGCCTGTCTGCCGACAGTGGCCAGCATCAGGTGCCCCAGAGAGGGTGGACCGACGACAATGATCAAATGATTTGTCTCCTGCCATCCTTCTCCAGCCTCTGACAAACAGAGGCCAGGGACACCATTTCTATCCCCTGGCTAATAGCCTTTTATGGACCTAACCTCCATGAAATTATCTAGCTTCTCTTTAAATTCTGTTATAGTTCTAGCCTTCACAGCCTCCTCTGGCAAGGAGTTCCACAGGTTGACTACATGCCGTGTGAAGAAGAACTTTCTTTTATTAGTTTTAAACCATGTTTTAAAGATGTTAGCAAATACTCTCTCCCCAATTTTATCATTTCCATGAACTTTTCCAACCAAGCAATATTAACAGCATATTAAACAAGGGTCATACGGGGTGGAGGAAATAATGCTATTCCCCCAACCCACTCATGACACCAAAATAGAAAAGTCGCTCACAACAGAATGTGGGGATTTGTTTATGATGGAGGCTCTCTCCTTCGTGCTTTAACCAACAGGATGATGTTAGCAGTTTGACAACATAAATTATCTTCATTAGGCCTCAGTTACTGCAGTAAGATAAGAAGTCGTTCACACCTCAGAGCTATTGTTACAGGTTGCCTGCAGACTCCAGCAGATGTCAGTTTACAGGAAGTCCCCTTACATACAAAATTGGGACTGTAGGTTTGTTCTTAAGTTGAATTTGTATGTAAGTCGGAACTAGTATGCTAAGTTGAATTTGGATGTAAGTCAGCCTCAGCGCGGGGAGTTTTTTAAAGCAGCCCCGGCGGCACTTCGCATCCCCTTCCCCCGCCCCTCCCCGCGGCCGGTCTCTGGGGCTGGGGCCAACCTGGTTTAAAGCTATTAAAAGAGAGTTCTTCTTCACACAGCACACAATCAACCTGTGGAACTCCTTGCCAGAGGAGGCTGTGAAAGTTAGGACTATAAGGGTGTGTCTAAACTCCCTGGCTCTGATCAGCTGTTTGTCGGCTCAGCGCGGCAGCCATGTAAATTTAAATGAAGCTGCGATTATTTAAATCGCCGCTTCATTTTACTGTCTGGTAGCCTAATCTACATGCCTCTGGCGACAGAGGCATGTAGTCTAGACGTACCCTAACAGAATATGTAGGTGGTATCATGAGCTTTCATGGGCACAACCCAATTCTTCAGATGACCGGAGTGTTGGATGTCCAGATCTAAGAATAAATAAGGGAAGGAAATCGGGGAAGGGGAGGGGGGAAGATGGATAAGGACATTCACTTCCACACAACAGGAGTGCCCCAAAGTCTGCCATTCAGTATGTGAGCACAAGTCCTCTTCCTTTAGATATGACTAAAAAAAACCCCAACAAATAGACCTGAGGGGTCTGGATAAGTAACTTATTTGCAGCTGCAGGTACCCATCTTCCAACAGCTGACATAGATTACACATACCATTGTTAAGTGTACTCTATCTTTTTTCAATCAGATGCTCTCAAAGAGCTCTACAGAGACCAATTAATGAGGCATCACAATAGATATTTACCTTCCTTTATACA